CCCCCCCAAGCCCCAGTCCAGGCCCCCAGGCATCTCACAGAGAGCTGTAATGATGTCAGACCTGCAACTTTTTGTTTCCCTATTTCCTGCACACAGCATGCCCACCAGTCTTTTTTCATTACAGGTGTGTGAAGCAACGTCTGAGTGAGCGAGAGTGAGTGTGGTTATGCTGGTGTTCAAACAGCCTAGACCTGGTATAGATTTACCTTAATGCACTACATACCTCCAAGTGGGCAGTTAGTTCATTAATGTAGCCTGGCTCTCTTTAGGTGACGTTGCTCACAGTTCATTCCCATTGTAGCCCTAATGATGAAGTAACACACATGTTTTCAGGTGTGTCCTCGCCGTATGAGCTACAGCCCCTAACACTCTGCGGTCAGGATTTTTAAGGTTTCACTTATAAAAGACCTCAAACAATGGTATCGTTTAGTCAGTGTAAAGTGCTCTAACAGTAAACTTAGCTACTGATAGGCTTGTTTACAAGAATCCCTGCAGAGGCTATATCTGGAATAATTAGCAATGTTATCAGACATAGCTCAAGGCGCCTTGACTGGAGATTAGTCGCACACTGAAGGTAATGTCTGGTTCCTGTCTGATTCACATCATTAACCTCTGATCCATATCTCAGTACACTGCACTAATACTGTACAACTTCAACTCTCTTCTGTCTTTCTTATGATACAAATACCTACTTCGGCTTCATCACCAATGGGATGTTGATTCACACCAATCGAAAAAGCTGTGTAATGAGATTAGCATAGTTTTTTTTATGCCTTTTGATAATCACACCTTCAGTTCTTTCAATTTTTATTTCTGACAGCAAAAGGAGTCTCTGGGGATGCTGCAAAGGCTCAGCCACCTCAAGCCCTCAGGGCTACAGGCTCCACAGTGTGGGGGTCTGTGGCTAAGTAATATACAACTTTGAATGCACAAATGAAAACACGCACATGGACACATGCACACACATGCCTCCGTGCGAACGCAAACAATTGCCTCTTTCATATCCTAAAGATTTCATAACTTCTGCCAACACACTTGGTTGACATGAGTGGTCAACACAGGGGATCTTGAATCAGATGGGA